ATATATATATAGGACCTGAAGTATAGGCTATTATCGTTGTCTCATTTTTGTGACCTTTCGTCCAAACCACAACTCTTTCTTTACTCTGAAGGATCTCATCGGGATCCTAACTTTGTGACCTCTCTCACCCACCGGACCTCCTCCCTCCCCCACCGCCTCCCCTCTCCTCCTCCACCTGCAGCCCTCGCGCCACGTCATTAATCTCTGTCAGTCAATACTTCGATCAGGTTTATCACTGAGCGCATAAATGCAAAACCATACAGTCCGTGGGAAAACAAAGTTTGTCGGAGGAACTCGTGTGTCCAACACAGACAAGACAACAACAACAAAGAAGAAGAAGAAATAAGAAATAGAAGAAGAAGAAGGAAAAGAGAGAGAGAAAAAAACACTCCTCGTGGAGATGTCGCCTGTCTATGTCGCTCGTGCACAAGCAGGTGCGCTTTTCCATATAAAAGTGCAGCTTATTATAAGAGAGTGGGTTTAAATAAGGCTGGCAGACGTGTTCCACTGATTCATTGCGAGGAAAACTGTTAAGACCCTCCGCGCGTGCCCGAGCACATATTTAATACAGAGGCGCGCCCCCTTCCCTCTGCCACGCGCGCGGCTCCTGCCTGCTCTCAGTGGAAGCGCTGTCGGACCAGAGACGAGACGCGGCGCAGCAGAGCTCACGTGAATGATACAGAAACACCAGAGCGCGTCGGTTCTGTTCACGAGCGGCAGAACTTCTCTTCACCTCACCGGATCCAGTGGTGAATATTTGATCAATGGATCTGCCTTCAAACGGATTGATCATTTTATTTCTCCGGAGGGGCTGAGTGGGGATAGTGGGCGGAAGAAAGAGCGCGTTTCCCTGACCGAGAGAGCAGCGAGAGGGGCAGACAGTGGGAGCGGGTGGGTGGGAGGGGAGGGAGGAAGAGACACTCTTTCCGCCATGGAGCTCACCATGGACAACTTGCACAGCGTCCCGTCGCATTCCCAGGCGGGGGACCTCATGAGCTCCCCGCACGCTCGGCCGTCGCCCTCCCCCAGCGCCACGACCCGGAATCTGGTCTCGCACGGTCCCAGCGCGCGGTCAGCCATGGTCTCCGGCATGGCCTCCCTCCTGGATGGGTCCGGCGGGGATTACCGGACTGACCCGTCCGCCCTGTCGGGGCACCTCCACCCCTCCATCAGCATGTGTGAGACCGGGATGAACCTCAACAACACGTACACCACCCTGACCCCGCTGCAGCATCTACCTCCCATTTCCACCGTGGCCGAGAAGTTTCACCACCCGCACTCGCACCACCACGCCGCCGCCCACCAGCGACTCTCCGCCGGCAACGTCAGCGGGAGCTTCACGCTGATGCGGGACGACCACCGGGGGCTCACGTCCATGGGCAACCTGTACAGTCACTACCCCAAAGAGATGTCCGGCATGGGTCACGGCTCGCTGTCCCCTCTGTCCGGGGGGCTGTCCTCTCTGCACAACTCCCAGCAGTCGCTCTCAGCCTACGGACCCAGCGCGCACCTCTCCACCGACTCCAAAATGCTCTCCCCGGTGTCAGGGTTCGAGCCGCACGCGTCCATGCTGTCCCGCAGCGACCAGGAGCACCTGGCCAGGAGTTTAGGGGGCCACGGCCACGGCTTGATCTCCAACCTGAACGGCATGCACCACCCGCACAGCCACCTCCACTCCCAGGCGAACGGCGCCGTGATGCTGGCGGAGCGGGAGAGGCACGGCCACGGAGGCGGCGGCGGCGGTCAGGGGGTGTCGGGCTCAGGCATCCAGGCGGAGGAGATCAACACGAAGGAGGTGGCTCAGAGGATAACGGCCGAGTTGAAGCGCTACTCCATCCCGCAGGCCATATTCGCGCAGCGGATCTTGAGTCGCTCGCAGGGCACTCTGTCGGACCTGCTGCGGAACCCCAAACCCTGGAGTAAGCTCAAGTCGGGCCGGGAGACGTTCAGGCGGATGTGGAAGTGGCTGCAGGAGCCCGAGTTTCAGCGGATGTCAGCTCTCCGACTGGCCGGTGAGAGAGAGTCTTTTCAGTGTCATGATTTCACACTCGAGCCGATCAGTGTCGAGTCACATTCCACCGATTATTGTAACCTTAACCCACCCCCCACCCCAAAAAAAAAAAAAAAAAAAAAAAAGCAGTGCAGGCCTTGAAACATTCAGCACCATGGACAGCTCTGGGTTCTGACATGAGGCACAGCGGCTCAAACAGTGAAACAGGATGACTTCCTGTCATTGTAAACAACCAGAGCGTTTTTTTTTTATTATCATAGTGAACTCCACAGAAACCCCACACATCAATAACCGCTTTAGGGACACTGACGTTTACGCGCGCTGTTGTAAACCAAGTTTGTAGGTCTATATTTTTGATCGACATCACAAATCCCAGGCGATTCACTATAAACACGGAAATAAAATCCCTCCCACGACGCTTGTTTCTGCGTGTGTATTTATGTGTGTATGGCGCAGTTGGTGGTGGGGGCTGAGGGGCCTACTAGTTGCGCCGGCAGAAGCGGGGTGACCCCCAGGCTGCCTGATCAATACGCCAGTTCCCACTCTCCTTTTTAAACGTGGCACACCGATCAATACTCGTATCGCAGCTGAAAGACGCGATAACCGCACGGCCTGCTCGGCTTTTCATTTAGCACCAAAGTGAGAGCTCTAAGTTCAGAACACGGCCAGGTGGGATGGGTTTAAACGCTGCACGCTGCTGAGTTACACACAGCCGGGAGAGCAGACATCAGCATTTCACTGAGCTGAAACAGAACTCTGTTAGTTGCATTAGAAAGGTTTAAACGAGTGGAACACTCTCAGAAACATATCCAGCCCACTTCGAGCTGCGCCAAACTGCTCTGATGAAATATTGATTGCAAACTGGGGTGTTGGTGGAAGAGGATCGGCAACATGGACTATAAACAAGAAAAAATACGAAAAAAAGTATAGCTTCCTAGAAGCTGAATCTCCAAATAACAGTAAAATTTACAATCAATTTGTTTCACTTTTCTGTTTGAAAAAAAAATCACGTAACCAGGCTTCTGCTAGAATCAAAGGAGGAAAAATGTTCAAACCAACAGCTGATCTGCACATGTTGCAGCTTTTTTATGATCATTTAAATTAAATCCCTGAAAATGAGCTGTTAAAACTAAAAGAAGCAGAATAGGTGCTGAAAGCTCAAAGCTAAAAGTAAGAAAAAAGCTATAGCTAAACACTAAAAGCAACAAAAGGCTTTAGCTAAATGGAGCAAAAAGCTTACTAGAAGCTAAAAGTAGCAACATGCTGTCTAAAAGTAGTAAAAAAAAGCTAGGTCAAAGCTAAAAAGGCTACCTAAAACAAGAAAAGGCGTACTAAAACC